TACAATATAAAAAATTTAAAGCTCCGTGTGTTCTTCTTCTACTTTTGTTTTCACCTCCTCTTTTACTTCTTCGGCCGGTTCTTCTTCAGATTCTCCTATCTCAGGCTCTTCCTCAACCTGTTCATCTAATGGCACTTCCATTGTTTGCCTTATTACCTAAAAATTTTCAGCCTCTAAATCAGCATAACTGCCCAGAGACATACTACTACAAAAAGATGAAATCACTCTTTGTAATCTGCATAAAATGAGGATAAAAAAATGCCAAAAATTTACCTGCTCAATTCGTTCAGCAAAACCTAACTGGTCCTTTAATGCAAAACCTGAACGAAGGGTAGCAGTCTCAAAAAGAAGTTTTGCCGTAGTGAGGGCTTTTGGATCTTCCTGGTCATCTGTCACCCTTCTCAGAAGTTCTTTAATAACAGGGTGCCGGGGATTGATTTCAAAGGTCTTCTTTTGATTCGCATAGAATTCCTTAATTAGACTCAAATTAGCGATCAGTCTTGTACAAGCTAATCAAACTTGCTATCTTTGAAAACATGAAATACCTGAGTTGGGTCTTGGGACTTCGAGTACGCTTGTGACTTCATGATCCTTTCCATGTTTCCTGACCATCCATAAGAAGAAGCAACAAGTGCCGACGGCGACTTGGTGAGCCTTTGAGACACTACAGCTTTCTCAATTTGATCCTGCACAAAAAAGCTGCACTTTAATGAAAATACTAAAAATCATGATTATATAATAAAAATTAAGTCAACCCCGAAATAATCAAAAAGTGAAACCCACTTTTAGAGCCTTGTCCTTCAGCCATTTCGTCAAAGGCTCGAAGGTCTTTTCAAGTTGTTCTAGAGCTTCCTTGCTCTTCTCACTGTCGTCTATTTTAAGCCCCTCTTTGGCAACATTTTGGAATTTCTTAGAGTCAAATTCCGGCATCGATTGAATAGTGTACTCATCAACCGGGTCGATAAGGTAAAGAACTTCATATCCCTTGACAAGCAGCCGTTCAACAAACGGAGACGATTCAACCTAAAAACAAAAGACGAGTTCCGAAAATTGATTTATAAAAATGCATTGAAAAGGCGATCCCGAACAGTAAAATCAAACAGTAAAATTAAACAGACTTCTTCACGGGAAGTTCCAGCAATATAGAAAATTGCATCTTGCTTTTCTTTCATTCTTTCAACGTACTGAGCTAACGTTGTTTGCTTCTCCTGAAAAAAAAAAAAAAAAAAAAAAAAAAAA